AGCTTGGGCCAAAATGTCTTGGTTTTCCAGAAGTATTGCTTTTGATGGCTATTGGTTTTAGCAGAGTCAACTGTACTTCAAGGGGTTTTTTTTGTCTCCAAGTTATGTCAATACCAAGTTGGCTTAAAACTTTCAAACTATCTAATCATTTTATATATTTTTTCATGACCTTTTGAATGGAAAAAGAAAAAATGGATTTTTTTCTTCTTCTTCTTCTTCTTCTTCTTTTGTTTAAGTAGTATAGTAATAAGTTCAAGAGAATTTTCATTTTTTTCATTTTTATTTTTTTCTTAATATATTTAAGTACTTCAGAAGATTAAGATTGGTTTTTTTGAAATGGTATTGTCAAAACTCACCATAGAAGAGAAATGATAAACCAAATTATATGAGATTTGGTGCAAAGCCCAAGGCATAAGCCAAGGAAATAAATTACTTAAACATAAAACACAACCTACGGGGTGGCTGTGGCTACAACATGACTGAGAAAAAAACAGAAACAAAAATATAAAAATATAAAAATATAAAAATATAAATTATAAAATATAACCAAACTGAAAGAGCCGTATCTGTAATAAAGATATATCCACCATTGATGAAAGCCAAAAGATAAAAATAAAAATAGAACACAACATTACTTCAGACTGATAATAGGTGATATTTAAAAATTTAAGAGACAAATGAAAAATAAAATAAAAAATAAAAAATAGAATAAAAATGCATGCTTTTTTCTTTTGAAATAATTAATTGACATAACTAAAAACCCGTCTTTTAAGATTTGAACAGCAATATGACAAAGAAACTAAAAATTGAAGACTTCTTGTGATAAACAATTATTCTTAAGGTTGTGGGTGGGAGGGACAAAAAAATAGTTTAAGACTAAAAGATTTAACTATGAGAATTATGAGAGGATGAGTTTTGACAAAAGTGAAACTATGGGAAGTTGGAAGTAAAGTGGTAAACAGCATCATGATGTCATTGACACAATGAAAATGTAATATAGAAAAGACCGACCCATCAGCTACGGATCTCATGACAAGTTCCTACATCCCATTCCACTTTGTTAATAACAAGTTACCAACACTGAGTTCTTTTTAATTTAAATTTAAATTTCAAAAAAAAAGAAAATCTTGATTCAAAAAACCAAGTACACCGTTTGCAGTTAATGGTCTGGTTGGTCATCACCCACCCACCAGTGCAAGTACAGGCTGTTGATTAAGTTCATCATCTTATACATGTATGTGGTATTTGTCTTATTTGAGACAATCAGGATGGATGTGCTTAACCTAGGTTAAGCTAAAATCTCAATCTTTGCACTCCTCCAGATACACGTGTAGTAAGTTAGACTCAGTCCAATTGATTTGACTCATCAAGACTCACAACTCTCATAGAGTGATAGTAAGTCTGAGTGGTGGTAATGAATCAGGTCTAAAGTTTTATTTGCTTAGTTGATATCAATCATAATGTATCAAAAGCACACAAAAGGAGAAGATAGAATCACTTGATAAGACGGATGTAAGAGTCACCATCACAGGTAGGGGTTGTGAACAACAGACAGACTAAATGTGAACACCAACGAGTTCTGTCTCTGTGATGAATGAATGAAGGAATGAATGAAAAAAATGAAACCACAATAAAGGAAACGAGATTTAAGAGATCAACACTTTAGATTGTTCCCATTCCGTTAAGGCTGGTAATCCAATCAAAGCTCTCAAGAAATGATCAATAGCAGCTCTTTGTCTAGCTGCCCCATTAATCACATCCGTTCCAGGTTTGACCAATGGAGCCTCTGTAATAAAAAAAAGAAAGAAAAAATCATGAGAAAGAGTAAGATGAAGTTGAAGAAAAGATTAAAACTTACTTAGCATTGAGCTTAACAAAGACAAAACGCAATAAACGTTCTCATATTTCGATTCACCCTCAGTCTTTTGCTTACGACATTGAACTCGAGTCAAAAGTTCGGTAAGAATGACAAGATCAAAGATGAGTGGGATAGCCAGCAAAGAGTCTTGGCAAGTGTTGGAGATCACAAGCTTGTTGCGTCCACCCCTAAAAACAAGAAGATCAGTACCTTTACCCAGAAGAACAGATGAAACAAGTCTCTACGTACATTGCTAGCTCACTATAATACTCATCGAGGGCTACCTTATCATCTCCGACGGCAGGCATATATTTGATAACCACACAATGGTCCGGGTGTTCAGTCTTGCGACCTTGCTTTCCACCTTCGATCATCTTTTCACCCTTGGGTGCTTCGAGTAGTGGTTTATAGAGTAAGTGGTTGGCTTCCACCATATCATCAACTACACTACTTTTACTAATCTCCTTACTGCGGAAAGTCTTCTGAGCATTCAAGTTTCTGCCATCGTTGTTACCCTGGGAAGCGAAATGAGGTCATCTCAGCCTCTCATCAACAAATCAATATCAGGTTTAACACGAAGAAAAAAGGACTGACCAGATGGTTGTAGGACGCAATGCTGAGAGGCTTGATCCCACTGTTCACCAAGAATTCTGCAAGGCAACTCTTGATCTTAGTCTGACCCGACTTGAAGTCGTCACCTCCAATAAAACCACCATACTGCTCTGCCAATTCCATGCAACCGGGCACAAACGTGTTTTGAGGGGCACCATTGATATAAGGCACGCCCTCATAGATGCAAGCCATCGCAAAGACAGTCGAGGGCGAGACTTCGTCGTGGTTTTGAGCTACCGCTCGCTCCAAGTTACTGGCGGTGTCGTTGACACCGGGGATTAATTCCGAGTATCGTTCGGTATTGGCAGTCCAGAGGACAATGACCTTGTCAAGATCATTAGTAGCTTTAAATTCTCGAATGTCACGGCGAATTTGATCTAGATGAGCTTGTTTGTTGTTACCTGGTAGGACGTTATCAGCGCGATCTTCTTGATTGGCGTTGATACTACCACAAAGGAAGGAAATGTCAATTAAGTTTGAGCAAGAGGACTGTATATGAAGACCATAGCACGTACAAGTCAGGGTAATAGATGGAGGGTAATGGGACCATCTGACTCATAAGAGGTTGAAGTTGTTGTTGTAAGTCCCACTCCATCACCTTAGCACGTCTCATAGCTTGGTCCATTGGCATTCCACTGATATCCCAGCCACCAATGACTAGGTCATTGGGATGTACCATTGGAAGCATATCGCACATTGGGATGTGAACATCTTTACCAGTTTGAGCATCAACACCAAGTCTTACTACAAATCATCAATAGAACCACATTAGCGACCCGGGCCAAAAAGATGATACTCGCAAAGATAACTCACAAGTCGATGCTCGAACCAAACTACCAATATAATTCGGGGTTTGAACACCCTCACGGGTATGCCAGCTAATGTTATGCTTGTTAGCAAGCCAGGTAGCAGTAAGTGTCGTTCCATTATTACCGCCCCATCCTACAAGCATAAGACTGTTCGAATAGAGAGAGAGAGAGAGCTTGATGAGTCAAAAAGCGATTTACATCGATTACGAATCGGATACTTACCCAGTTTTAGGCACCTTACGCTCGGTCTTGAACTCAATCGTCTCCTTGATGGGAGTGACCTCGTACTTGCCATCACTGGTACGAGTGACATGTGCATTCTGGTGCTCATAAGTAGAATATATGTGTGAATCCTATAACGGTAAAAAAAATCCAATCAATGAGATCACTTCAAATCAAGATTACTTCAAATAGAGAAAAAGTCAACAAACCGAGTAATTTGTGTGCTCGCTTTTGACATTGACTGAATCGACTGGGCGTCTCATAGCAGTAGGATCGACGATCGGAATCGCAGCAGAGTTGTGTTCAAGGCCGTGACCGTTTTGATGGGATGGGATGGAGTGACCATTGGTGTGAGAGATTGATGGAGTCATGATAAAGGTTGATTTGTGATTAAGAAGATTGGAAAAAGATTACTAAAAAGCTAATTAAGATGTTTGTCTGTCTAGACCCGGTGCACAAAGTTTGCGGCCCCTGATGAAGGAGGAAAAGAGAATGAATGAGCAAATTAAACAAAGTGATCAGACGAATAAGATGATTAAATTTATTACGAGTTGTGTCTGTTATGAGAGCTGTTTAGATTGTAATATGGGCAGGAAGAGATTAAGGTGAGGAAAAGGTTAAAGAGGTCAGTTCGATTGAAGAATAGGCAAAAGGTACAGGTTTAACGGACCTTGACAGTCCGTTTGAGAACATGCGAAGTAAATCGAAAGAAGACCGACAAGCGGTAAGATATAGCTAATAAGACTTCTGAGAAAATGAAGAGAAGGATCGTAAGTGCAAGGTAAGATGAAGATAGTGAATAGAATGGAGTGATAAGGATTTCAAGTTGATTGAGTGAAACCGAGGTAATGAGTGAGGATGAACGAACCTGAAGATGGATTGAAGAGTGTATTTGAATAGCTGATGAATCGGATCAAGAGGAAGTTGAGAAATTTCTTGTTGACCGTCGAGAACTTCAACTGATTTTATACCTGTGAAGATGACGGGTGGTGGCACGTGCTCTCTGTTCTGTCCTGAGCATTTGATAACAAGCTCAATCCTAGGTCAAATTTCAAATAATCCAAATACAACAACACTCAACTCAATCATCAGCACGACCCAACAGTGAACACGGACGAGATTATGTATAGGCACGGATCTTAATGGTTTCATTTTCTCTCATTTCTCTTTTGTAAACGAGTTGGATTTGATATCAGACCACTTTACTTACCATACATCCGTATCTTTCTCTTTCTATTCGAGCACAACCCTTTCAATGCAACTCAGCTCAAATACTTCAAAATCAGTCCTAATCTCTTTGGTCTATCAACCAATCTCGATCGCTGACCTTCAATGATCATAGAACCTCAAAACAAAACTTGATCATATCAAACACCACCTCATCTTCATCTCACCTTATCCCTCTCATCAATCACTTCCAATCGTCGAGTACCTTCATTCCTCATTTTTTCACGCAATACATTTGATCTTATATGCATAAAGTGGTTTTCCCACGCTAATCCGAGCTAGTATATCGGCTAGTATGGCCGCCTCTCATCTTCTCACGAGCTGTGCGCGGCAGAGACGGGTTCGATTCCCGTGTTCGGAAAATTTTGATCCTTTTGTGATTCCTTCTTGCCTCGTTTGCTCCTTTTGACCTTAATTTGGACCCAAAGGGATCATCTGATCTATTAAAATTGTTAAAAAGATGAATTGTTCTGATCAATGAATTATAGGAAATCAAGTTCCATGAATAAGATCAACTAATGAAATTCTTCATAATTTTTTAAGATTCTAAATATGAAGAACGCATTGAGTTAGATTTTAATTTTGATCAGATCAATGAATTTGTTCACATTAGATATGGTCTGGGAATTAAGATCAAATGGGAAAAAGAAAAAAAAAGTCGAATATCATTTATTTATTTCAACTTAAAAAAACCAAAAACAGAAAAAAAAACCAAGTTTGGTAAGATAAATAAGCAAGATAGATCAAAAAAAAAAGACAACAAATGAAGTTTGATTGAGAAATTTGTAATTGATTTTATAAAATGAAAAGAAAGAAAGAAAGGGAAAAATTAAATCTTCAACTAAAATGGAAAAAGAATTTGGAAAAAAAAACTTGATATTACAACTTCTAGAGAGAGAGAAAGAGAGAGAAAAGAAAAAATACAACATCATCAAGTGATTTACGAAAAGAAAGAAAGAGTGATTCAAAAGAAAAGAAGGAAATTTTGAATCTATCTTTAATAATCTTTATGATATGATACAGAATCCAAAACTCAAGATAATCAACTAAAAAAGACAACAACCAGAATCAAACACCAACAAAGACTAAAACCCTTTGAACGAATAGAGATGATAGATAAATGAGATGTAAACAATTCAAGAGGCTTCAGATCAACTTCTCCGTAAGAGAAAACCAAACTGCTCATCCTAAGCCAACGATTAGATTCCAAACTTTTCTGATCCTTTAGGTTTCTCTTCTAATCCAAGTACTACACCCACCCAAGACCTAGTCGGAGGTACTTCTACTTCATGATCATGATCCAGCTCAAGTTCTCCATCGATCCCAATCCTTTGCCATCCTTCTTCTTCTTCTTCTACATCTTCTCCTGGTATGTTCGGTACTAAAGGTTCATCTGATAAGGCTATCACTCTAGAGATGGGTGGATAAAGAACTTCAAAAGAATCTAAAGAGAAGCCAAAAGTCAAAAAAAAGAAATCAAAAAGGATGAAGCCGTGTTTTTTTTTTGAAATGATGATTTGGAAAGAGGGTGATTGAGAATGTAAAATTCCTTACCGATTCGATTCTTAGGTGGTCTCTTCTCTACCATCACTTCTTCTAATGAAACAGTAGCTCTCCAATCTGACTCTTGATTTAAACTATCCGATTCTTCAGACTGATTCAAATGATGTTCATTATTTGAATGATGATCTATAACTGAATGAATCCCTCGATCACAACTTATCAAATTTGAATCTTCTACAGATCCAGCTTTCATCCTTCGATGTCGTAAAGCAGATAGTTTATCATCCTTTGAAGTTGATGGAGGATGAGAATGAGGTGATAAGTTGAGCTGATGATTAGGTTGAAGTTTAATAGCTGTTGCTCTTTGACGTTCGATATGATGAATGGCTAATTGACGATGACGATGAGATGCACGTGCTAATTTGGCTTCCATTTTGATTGGATTGGATTGGATTGGATTGGATTTGAATGGATTTGGTTTGATCGTTAGCAATTTGAAAAAAAGTTAAAGGTAAAGTAAAGTAAGAATGAGGATTGAGAAGTTGAAGATTGATGATGATGATAAGTAGTAGGATGAAAAGAAGAAAGTGAAGTGATTCCACAATCTCATGGTGACCAAATCGGTATATATGATCTGCAAATGCAAATACAGATGCTGTGTCATCGTATTACACATTGTACGTCATCTACACTGTACAATACAACACCGTTCCTCGATCAAATTTGGTTCAGTCTCGACTTCAATCGCCATGCAACGGGGGTCTCTTATCATCTTCACCCCCTGAATGTTTATTGGATCAATCTAAAGTTTGCATATATGTAGGATCAAGTACATCGATACCCCTAAAACACTTTGTATTGATACTTACATACATCCCTCTCAGAGTCATTTCATGAAGATTGTCTCTGGTGAAAGAAAAATAATCATCATAGGTTATTATTGGATTAAAGTGCAAACTCTCCTAATCTTAAAACCCAATCTTGAACTTATCAAAGCCATACAAAATATATATATAGTGTAGAACAAATCCATCAAAGGAATATCCTAAACAGTCAACACTCTAAGTAGGATATATAGAAACATATTGGTTTAAAATCACATTGCTTTAATTTCAAAACTTGATGAAAAAAAAACATTCACAACAACTGCAGAACAGATTGGAATTAAAGTTACAAAACAAATGATTCACATAAGACACAACACCTATACCCATACATAGTTAGAGATCTCAATCCTTGGTATCTAGCATCCCAGCTCATCTTCTTAGATTCCAAGTCCTATGAAATTCGAAGGTTGTTCACATATCACTTTGAGTCTTTGAACTAATCGTGCTAATTCTACACCCTCTACAGCTCGATGATCAGCCGAAAAACTTGCAAATAACATCAATCGTGGTTCCGGTTCAGGACATGAATCACGATCAAGACCACGAGCTGCTGCTGTTGCTGCTGCTATGTCTCTTGGTCGATAAGTAGGTAAGACTTGTACTTTTCCAAATGCTCCGATACCTAACTGACCGGTAGGGGGAATAACTGGGTAAGTGTAAGCTAGAATATCAATCGATCACTCGGTCAGCCTTTTCAGCTTCAGTTCAAGTTCAAAATGCAATGGGTGTCTTGAGAAAAAAAGAAACTCAACTACCACCAATCACTCCGATGTTACTCAGCGTGAACGTCCCAGGCCGATTCCCACCAAGCTCTTCAGGAAAAATTGGTAGTCGAGTTGGATCTGCGAATGTATCCACAAACTCACGCAGTCGACGAACGTGATCAGCAATTTCATAAACTGTCTTTTGTTCCACATTAGGAATCAAGGGAGTAAGGAGGCCTTGAGGACTACTGAGAGCGATGGAGAGATCGACAGCTTGACGTTGAACAAAACAAGGTGGTTCACCAAGGGTAGAACGAAAGATAGGTTCCGATCGAAGGGCATGACCCATGGCTTTGATTAACAAGCTAAAGAGTGTGAGGCGAGGTTTGGGATTAAGTTCAGCTGAAGAGCTATTCAGTTCAAGTCTCACTCTTTCAAGTTCGGTGACATCAATCTGCTCTGAGTAGCCAAAGTGAGGGATTTTGAGAGATTTAGACATGCTTCGAAACATCGCCTGACGAACGTCATTGAAGGGCACTCGTACACTTCCAGTTATGGAGGGTGCAGGTGGTAGGTTGGATTGCGAAGGAGGAGAGAAGGACTCATTTGAAAATTTGCTCGGACGAGAGAGGTGTAAAAGTACATCTTCCTTGGTGATCCGCTGGTCCTTCCCGGTGCCAGTGATAGTCTCGATGTCGATACTGTGTTCCTTGGCAAGACGCCTCACGGCAGGTGTTGAGTGAATTAGACCTGCTTTGGATGTCTTGGTTGGTACGTTCAAATGTAACTGTGGTTGAATAGGTTCTACCCTAGGTTCCACGATATTGGACTCAGTATCAGGTGATGTGACGCTGTCGGGTGGTGAAACCACATCGCCATCCTGTTTCACTATGATTTCGCAAAGGGGCTGTCCGACTTTGATCACCTCACCAACGGCACCGAACATTTGATGAATTGTACCCTCAAAAGGACTTGTGATCTCGACCGTTGCTTTATCAGACTGTACCTCACAGATTGGATCGAATTCTGCGACATCTTGATTTGGTGCTACTAACCTAACAATAGCCGATGCAAGAAATTAGACAGAGTAAAGAAGCCTGCATACATCCAGACAGAAATAGGTATACCATTTCACAATCTCACAACCAGTGATTCCTTCCCCAATATCGGCCAACAGGAACGGTTTGATAGCATGACCAGGTGGGATTGAACGAAGCTGAGGGGTTGCGTAGGTCAGAGAGCGGATGTGAGTGAAACAGAGTTGAGTTGAGTTGAAGTGTGAAAGCGAGGGTTTCGGGATGTAGGAAGGTAGTGATGATGAAGGAAGAAGTTGAAAGGGAGTGTGAAGAATTCGAGAGTGAAGACGCAGACGGTAAGAAGACATGAGTGAAGGGTTTGGTGATCGAGTTTGAATTGGAAATAGTGAATTGACCAAACTCAGGAAATGAAGAAGATCACCTTCAAGTAAGCTTTAAAATGATCACACTTTGTGCATACAATACACACACATAACCCAAAGAAAATCAATCACTTCAGGTTTTGACCCTCATCAGCTCTCATCTGACCAATCACAAGACACATCAACACATCAAATCTGAACCATACAGAGTGATTGGGTCAGGGATCATCTACTTTCTATGAGAACATCATCATACATTCTCCAATCATGTCCTGGGTGACAGGTGTCTTGCTCTTGGCTATGAAGTTTGTATCATATCACCTTGTGATTATGAATCTATAGCTTTATGAAGAAATATAAATGAAAAAATAGCTCAATTAGAACAACATTAACTTATCATCCCTCCTCAGTAAATGTCCTTGGATCTTCTTTATGACAAGGCCTTCAATGATGTATGTATCATAATACATACCTTCTGACAGTGGTCACTGAAAAGCACTCCAAAAGACCTAAATAACACTAAATGTGTAGCTGCCATCCATGATAATCGAATGCATTATGAAAACTCAATCCAGATAGACCAAGGAACATGTAACCAAACCCAGTGATCTTGAAGAAAATAAAAACTCAGTGTCCTAGACTATCTTGCAGGTAACCCAAGCAAAAATTCATGTATTGTGCACTCAATTCCCATATGATTGAGGGTTTGATCTAGCTTCTTACTGAGGAGAAACAAACACTACAAGAGAAAGGTTGTGTGGATCTCTGGCCTTTCATGATGTGATATGTCTCAGGGTTAGCTCATCTGCAATTGCACATGCCAATGCACTCAAATCATCACTATTGGCAATATTGCTGAATTGAGTCA